ATTCCTTGCTTCTCTGATAAATTGGAGGACCAGGACGGCTCAGACGTTGGTTTCTCCCTGTGCCTGTGTACCATGCAGACCCTCCCAAGTCCATCTGCGTGGACAGCAGCTCCAGTTCAAGCCATGTTTCATCCCATGCCAGCCCTCTGCTCTCAGGTGCTAAGGATCTGGAGGACACTTGGATATCAGGCACACGCCCTATGTCCACCCCCACCCCCCGTCCACCCCTGCTGTTTAGAAATAGCTCCAGCTCTTCACCCCCATAAACCCCCCCAATGTCCCAAATTCCAATATTTTGGCAAAGGGTGCTGCAGGAGCAGAAGCAGGTCTATAACAATGTGCGGAAGTCGCACAACTCCTTTGCAAGCTCACACATTCTAACACCATCCCTTCCAGACGCCTCCCATGGGTGAAATGTCTACCAAGCCCTGGTGACAGACCCACACCCCATTTAGAACTGCGTTCTCCACTTGTGGCTGAGGCTGAAACCACCTGCTGTTTATCCCATTCGGAAGTAGTCACTCAAGTTCAGTCAGGGCTGGATCGTCCTCAGAACACAGCTCTGGGTGTGAGGGGTCAGAAGACGCCTGCTGGCCAGAAAAGGAAGGCACAGTGAAAGGGGGAGGCAGCTCCCCGAAGTTTTCTGGGAGCCCCCAGGTTTCTCTGGCTACCCCTTAGCACAAGAGGTGCAGGGGAGCAGCAGTGAGCCCAGCACACTGTTGCCAGGGAGCCTCAGTGTTCCCTGATTCAGGAAGAGGGACAAATGGAGGCAGAGGCGGGGACTGGCACCCCACTACCCTACAGACGAACAGGCAGGTGAGGAAGAGGAAGCCCCCCACACTCTGCCCATGGGGAGGACTCTTGGATCAGATGGATGGGTCTAATTCTGGGGGAACACCCAGGGCACTCGGAGAGCTAAGGCTTAAGGTGGCTGGACTTTGGGAGCAATCAAGCTGCTTTTTTTTTTTGGAACTGGGGATTGAACTCAGGCCCTTGCGCTTGCCAAGCAAGCGCTCTTTCACGGGTGGAAAGAACTGTCACCTGCAGAAAGGGACTGTGAAGAAAATCACCCAGAAGGAGAACGAACATTTGGGAAACCACGGCACTAAATCAGAAGAATTTACAAAGAAAAACAGTTTAACCAGAGATCTCCACCTGCGCTCACCCCTGGCATGGGCTGCAGGGGTCCCTGAACTGCCGAAAATTCCACGCAAAGCCTCTCATGTCCAGCATGTTGTGCCTTTCTCATATAAGGTACTCAGGGTGACCCTCACGTCATTCTTCCCCCAAATAGCCTATGCCTCCCCGTTGTCCTTTGTATACAACCTAGTGACAGCACAGCCCCTCACTGCCAGCTCCCCCACCTGCACACCCTCCTACCTGACTCATCCTGTCCCCAACCCAACAATGGAAAGACAGGTCGTGATTTCCCACCTCTGCAAGTCTTAAACGTAGGCTGCATAGTCACCCATGGGGATCTTCAGAGGAGGGAGGCACCAGTCAGTGTTCTTAGCTGCACACAGCAGGAGCCAAGCATCCCGTCCCACCCCACCTGGGATCCGAGAATCCCCTCGGGTGTGCCATCCTCTGGCTCCTCCCACACCCGCTTGGCCCCTTACCTCCTCTTAACACTAATACCCCTTGCAGGGCAGTAACCCTATAACGTTGTATGTTTTCCTTTCTTTTCCTGTGTATAGGTCACATGTCAAAAACCGATTGTAACTCAAGAGCAAGGACTGATTTTGTCTTACACCTTTACTACACCTTGCCCATAGGGTGGCCGACCATCTTGGTGTACCTGGGACCTGGGACATCCAGGGCTAGAAGTGAGCAAGTCCCTAACTGCCCATCGGGAGCGGGCACATCGTAGCTAGGGCCTACCTGTTTATTGATTGCTAACTATGGAAGGCGTTACTGTCTTTACCAGTATACTTGATTCTCCTCCCCTGGATGGGTCTTTCTCCATCTCTTGAAGTTGGCAGTGAGTGCACGACTTGCTTTGGCCGGTGACGTGTGAGTTGGCTTGACACGTGTCACTTCTGAGCAAGCGTGCTTAAGACCCCACATGCAGTCCTCTGTACAACTCTGGTAACCCGCGGCCACCTGGGGAGGTGGGTGTACCCCAGGATGATGTGTCTCTCCTTGCCCTGCGAGATGCAGAGAGTGATCACGCAGCTTCTGTCATGTTAAATCACTGAGATTTTTATGTCTTTCGTTACTACAAGAAAACCTACCCTAACCTAACCCTGTGTCTTGGTGACTTTTTTCCCATTGCTGAGACAAAATACCTGATGCCCAAAATTGTGATTTCTCTTATGAAAGCAAAAGTACAAAATAGAAAAGAAAGAAATAAGAATTAGGGAGAAGTTCAAATATTTCCCCAAACTACAAATTCCATTACTTTAAAAATATTTTAATATAGGGGCCAGGGAGATGGCTCAGTAGGATAAGCGCTTGACTGGCAAATGCAAGCATCTGAGTTCAATCCCCGGTTCCACCAAAAAAATAAATAAATAAATAAATAATTCAATATATATACTAATTGATTTCATTTATACTACCAGTCTTAAGCTGTGGAGATAGTTAAGCAGTCTCAGTGCCTGCCTGGCAAGCACAAGGACCTGGGTTCAATCCCTGGTACCACATGCTGTGCTGGTTTAGGAACCCTGGCACACAGTACTGATCACCAAAATCAGGCATGGTGGTGCACACCTGTAATCCCAGCACTGGGGAGGCTGAGACAGGAGGATCACTCCAAGTCTAAGCGGCATAGGGAGGCCCTGTAACAAATAAATAAAAAGATTTATTTTTTGATTTTATTTTATTAAATAAAAACAAAATTATGCTACCAGTCTTCATTCGTTGAAAAGGTTTTGTGTTATCTGTTTTTTGTAAAAGTCATTTTGGTTTATGTCTTGTACTCTGTAATTACTTTGAAGATAACGACACACAGTATAACGAGGTGATGAAATTTTATTTTGTTATGAGAAATAAAAACGATTATGAAATTTTATCATGCAATTATGAAATTTTATTTTTTCCATGAGTAATAAAAAAGAAGGTAAAAAGTAAAAGACTTTATAAATCTTTTTCTATTTTAATAGTAAGTTTCTTATTACAATAATACTAAATATGTACTCTTTTTAATACAAGAAAATAAAGAACAGCTCCAAAAATCCAAAATCGAATCCAGGGAAATCATTACTAATGCTTCTTCTGTTATCTTGGCTCTGAAGTTGAGCCCAGGCGTGCTCCACCGCTGAGCTCCATGCTTGGCGCCCCTTTCATGAGATAAGGTTCCGCTCAGTGTGACCTCAAACTTTTTTTTTTTTTAAATATATTTAGTGCAGTCTCCAGGGTCTCACTACACAGATCGGACTAGTGGCGATCCTCCTGTTGTCGGCCTTCCAAGCGCTGGGATTACAGGCGCGTACCACCACACCTGGTCTCAGTCACCTTCTCAGTGCAGCCGAGGCGGGGCCCAGCACAGCACCCTGGGGATCGAACCCCCAGTCCTTGCACCTGCCTAAGCAGTGCTTTAATCCACTGAGCTATCTGGCCAGCCCTTGGCCTGAAATTTTTGATCCCCTTGACTCAGTCTCTGGGTGCTGGGCTTAGGGGATGCACTGCTAAACATGAATTTTGTTACATCTTTCAGCACTTTTAAAGAACCATCTTCAGCCTGATGAGTTCAAGGACCACCTGAACTACACAGTGAGACTGTCTTGAAAGAAACCCACCTCCTCGCTGCTTTGGAGGTCACATATCCCTCCCTGCAGGGCTGGAGCTCCACTCTCGGCACTGCCCACCTGCCCCAGGACTGTGGCTGTCTAGTTTATTTACAAAGCTTCTTCCTTGTATGTTTAGGCTGCCTGGGGAGTACTTGCTTTGTTCTACATCCCGAGCACTGTTTCAGCGGGCCACACACGTCCCACGTGAGCTCCAGGCACTTCCTACAGCTTGCAGTCAAGGAGTTCACCTGACCCGAAGTTCCTGGCAGGCTTTGCAGCTGCGGTTCCCAGCCCCACGCCCAGGGTTTGGGAGCTCTAGATGCGGGTGGGGCCTGAGAATTTGCATTTCTACCCGAGTCTCTGGCAGGGCTTGGGCTACCACTGCAGGCCCTGCGCCTGGCAAACTGCAGGCCTACTTTGTTCTAAGAAGCCAGTGTCACCTGTTTCCTCCCTTTGCCTTTTTAGCACCTGCAGTTCGGGTTAGCTCTGTGGAGGGCGAATGTCTCAGGAGCGCTCGTGTTCTTCCCATCCAGGACTCCAAAACCCTCTCATCATCACTTCTGCTCAGGAGTCCTGCGGCCTGACTCCTATTTTCTAATGTACACACAGGTGTGCGTGTAGATGGATTTTTTCAAAACTAGGATCTTCTCCCCAGAATTGCAACTTTCAGAATCCCAGTAACACAATGAACACTGATAAAAGTTCCTTTCGGGTGAGGACGTGGCTCCGTGCTACAGTGCTGGCCCGGCATTCGCAAGGCCATGGGTTCCACAGCCAGCAAAAAATAATTCCTTTCTTGGACCCCGGGCCATAAGCCCCTTGCTCCGGGCGTCTGGCGGTCTCCCTGGCTGCCCTGAGGCGCGTGTCCCAGGAGCAGGAAGAGGCTCCGTGCCGGCCCAGCAGCGGGGAGCTCTGCCGTCAACCCGGACCTTATTTGTAGGGAAGTGACTCGAAGCTCAGGCTCTGGGAAGTTCTACCCGGGCTCTGGTGCTTACTAGCTTTGCCGGTCAGACAGTCACTTTGCAAAATCATCCCTCAGCGTTGGGAGATGGCGAGGGACAGTCCTGGGGAAACGCGGGGCGGAAACAGCCCAGCGAAGAGGCGGCTGCTGCGAGAACCCAGTCGCTGCTCCCTCGGGCCCTCAGGCGCCCTTCGCCCTGCAGACAGCCCTCTCGGCCCGGCCCGGCCCGTCCTTGGACGGCGTCCCGGTCACCTGCCTGAGGCCCGGCTGCTCGGGTATTTACGGCGCGGGCCGGCTGGCTCCAGCGCGGCTTCAGTTTCAGGGTGTCCGGCGCGGCGGGCGGGCGAGGAGGGTGCAGCGGCCCGAGCTGGGCGGCGCCGGGCTGGAGGAGGAGAAAGCGGAGGATGGGCTGCGGACCCAGCCGGCCGAGCTGCTGGCAGCGCCCGCGGGACGTACGGAAGGTACGCGGGGAAGTTCCTGGGCAGGCGGGGACCCCAGGCGGGACCCGACCCGCGCCCTAGGGTCTGCGGCAGGTGCCCCCCGGTGGCGTGACCCCGAACTCCCCGAGCCGGGCAGGGGCAGGTGGCATCTTAGGTCCCTGCCCTGCACGGTTTCGGAGCTGTTAGGAACCAAGGTCGCAGCCCAGGGCCCCGCACACCCTGCGTGCCTCCCCGCAGCCCCGTGGGCTGTGCGTGCGTGAGCGCGCTGGGGGCAGAGCAGCCGGAACCCACAGAGCGCCGGTGCCCGCTCCCTGCCAGTCCCTCCCAGCTAGTTAGGGCCCGAGGATTCCACGCAGATTTTCTGCAGAGTCCAGCTGCCCCTGGGGTCTGACAGTCCCGGTCAGAGTGGTGCCAAAAGGCTGTGTCGTTTGCTCATCACCAAGCCCTGGGCAGGAGCACCTGCTCTTATGAACGTCGAGATCCCCAGAGCCCCAAAGTGGGGCGATGTTTGATAATGCCACACTCTCTTAGTCGCTCCAGCCCTGCTTGTGCCTGAGGCGGGCTTTGCCGCCAGCTCCTACCTTTGCACGATAGCTCTGGGAGGAAGCGCAGGGCCCTGGCTTACCTTGTGCCTCCTTTATTCTCTGGTCAGAAAACTTCACTGGCTCAGAGCCAGGCTCTCTTGCTGTCCTGGTTCAGGCCTTCCGGAGGAACAAGTTGCCTAGGCCCCAGCGGCCACGTGGAGTAGAATTGGGCCCCTGGTCTAGCGGTCTTTACCCCCAGCCTCAGCCGGCTACAGCGCCCTTGGGCGTCGGACATGCACCCTCATGGCCTCGAACAGCCTGGCATGTCTTCCTTCCCTTCATGTCTGCTGCTGTCCCTCTAGGTTTTGCCCTGGCCTAGTTTCAATCCCCAGAGGCCTGAGCTCCTGAGTGGGAGGGGACGCTAAGCTCAGGATGTCCTGAGATACCAGAAGGGTCAGGTCACAGGCCCAGTGAGAGGTAGCTGCAGACCACTTTCTTATCCTGCCCCACCCCGGACCCCTGGAAAGCAGGCTGAACCCCTTCCAGTTAAGGAAGGCAACTGGTTGAGAAGGGACAGGTGGGAGCCAGCAAGGGCCACGCTTGCGGCCAGGCCTCAGTGCCCGCCACCTTGCACTCTCCACCCCACACCAGCACAAAGCACGTGCTGCGGGAGTGCAGAGAAGAGCCTCCTGCAGCCAGCCACCAGGAGCACAGGGATTGTGGGAGGGAGTCACGCAGTCAAGGCCGAGGGGCAGCCTAAGGAGGCAAGAGCTGTGGAGAGGGCCGCTGAGGGGCTGTTTGTGCAGACTGGGGGTGGCAGTGGATGCAGCTTCACTTGGTGGGGGGCTTCCCCACCTCCAGGCCTCTCAGTTCCCTCCAGGCTCCGAAGTTCGAGAGCCTGTTGAGCTCTGCAGTCTGTGCCTCTGGGTCTGGCCTGACCAACCCTTCTGGAGGCCACTCAGAGGTCAAGCCTGGGGACAACCAGGAGTGAATCATGCAATCCCTGAGTGGCCAGGGATGGGAGCTGAGGACTCGTTGGGATCATGTGGTTCTTCCCAAAAGCTTCTTCTTAGCAGAGACTGTGGTCAATAGGGTTGCCTCTCTGGGGAGGCCTTGGGAAAAGGCCAGGTAGAAGGTAGAGGCCTGAGGAAGGTGTGGACCTCCTGGGGCTGAAAAGGGGTGAGGAGGGGCCGTTTCAGCCCCAGGTCACAGACATCCTTAGGTCAGCCAAGAAGAGGTGGGGCTAGGAGGGAGATGGCTGGTGGCTGACCCCCGTGTGACACAATGGGCACTCTCCATCTTGTCCCAGAGGCTCCATCTATAGGGCAGCAGCACCAACCCAGCCTCAGGCCACTGTTCAGTAGGACAATCCTACCTGGCTGACCTAAGGGTGCCATTCCTGAGCATGTCAGGCCAGGTGAGAGAGTGTAAGGGAGGCAGCTGGAAGCAAGTAACCCACGCAAGGCTGGTATAGATATAAGTAATTCTCAGGCACAGCCACATGCCCCAGGGCTCAGGGTTAGCAGCGAGGCCCTTTATTCTTCTACGAACTTGGCAGACATTCGCGTGGCCTATACCAGAACCTGGGCTGGGCTCCCACCTAGTGCACTATGGATCTGTTACGTGGCCTTGGAAGTGTCTCGCTTCCTTGTGCTTCTGTTTCTTTGTAAGCTGGGCATGCTGTTAGCCTGGTGTCATGGGGGATTGTTCCATAACTTGACAAAAAGGATGCAGGAACCAGTATCTGAGGTAGCCTGACAAGCACAAGGTAAGCTCTTGAGAGAGGTGATGCGCTATAGACTTAAACTTTAAGGCCATCATGACCTGGGTTATGTCCAAGAAAAGCAAACAGGGATGTGCAGATGGCAGATGTCGCCCTCATGGGTGGGCGTGCCGCTTAGAGCCTGGGTGCTGTCAAGCCCCTCTGTTGTCGAGGGTCGTGGAAAGGAGCGCCAGTTGCCACTGTTCCTCAGTGGGACACTGGGGCAGTGGGGTCAGCAGCCGGTGTCTGCTCCGTGGGAGGAAGATGTGGCCAGAAAGACCTCGGAGTGTCATGAGTTCCCCATTGCTAGTGGGACACAAGCAGTGTTCAGAGGACATTTGGAAAAGAATTAGAGAGGGGACGCCGGCCCAGGACTAGCAAACTTGGGAAATCTGCTTGTTTTCACAGACTATTGCATTTTAAGATAGAATTTCAAAATTTGGAAGAGAATTAGCCCTGCTTCTAGTCTCCTTGTGAAACACACCCATGAATGCGTTTTGCTATCACTTTTGTCTTGTTTTGTTTTGCTCCCTTTTGGGATTTGGCTTTTTAGTTTTTTGAGACAGGGTCTCACTAGGCAATTCAAGCTGGTCCTGAATTCACTATGCAGCCCAGGCTGGTCTGGAACTCAGGGTGACTCTCCAACTTCAGCCCCTTGAGTGCTGGGATTACAGCATGCCCAAAGCTACTTTTTTCTTTTTTTTTTTTTTTAACATATATAGCATATGTGAGTATAACTTTTTATAGAAGTGGGAATGTAATTCATCTGGGTGTCTTCTGATTACTATTTCATGAGACATTTTCCTACACTCCATAGACCATGGAAATAGGGCTTCTCAGTGGCTCCTGAAGGTCCCTGCTGTCCTCTGGTTCTGGGCTCCTTAGCTGCTGGGACCCCTGGCTGCTTACATTCCCTACTCCTGCCCTAGTTGCTGATCACCATCTTTGCTGGGGCTCAGAGTGGTCAGGCAAAGCCACCTTGGAGATGGCAGCTTGAATGGGCTGTGGGAATGGATGTGTGAGACAGTAAGGCAGGAGGGTGCCCTAGGCAGATGGAACAGGGGAGCAGGCCCTTCACCCCAAACCACAGGGAGTGGACACGTCTGACCTTGGCACTAGGTCTTCCTGGGCTGGGACATGAAAGGAAGCCATCCCTGGAGGCCTGCAGAGGCGGCCCAGAAAATAGTCCTGCAAGGTGAAGTGAGCCCGGGCTTGCTCAGACGGCAGCAGCCTGCGAGACGGGGAGCTCTGACCTGCCTCTGTTGTAAGGCCGCAGGCGTACTTTGAATAATTCCTAGTGATGGCCGCCTCCGAGGTGTGACCTGCAACCCCAGGCTTCATGCACCTGCACACACGAGCAGAACCTGTTTAATGACGCTGGGATGGAATATAGGGCCCTGCATGAGCCAGGCAGGCACCACACCACGCCTCCAACCTGACAAGCTCCTAATTCTCTTCTTTTTTTTCGTGTGCGAACTCACAGGCAGCTAGGAGGGGGCCCGAGGGCCTGACACGCTCCCTGGTTCCGTCTACCCTGGAATGGGTTCTGTTGGCCCAACGGGGTGTTCTGTTTGGGGCCTGCGCTGCATGTTGACACTTGTGCTTCTTTTTTGTTTTGAAAAGGACATAAAAGATAAAGTTCAAATGAATTATCCAGACATGGGCTGTGGGGGCCAGGGAGATAGCTCAGTAGAATAAGTGCTTGCCTGGCAAGCGCAAGGGCCTGACTTCAATCCCCGGTTCTACGCAAGATGGTGAAGCTTTCAGGGCTGTGGACTGTGTCCATCAACCGGCTCAGAAATGGAAACCTCAGTTCTGCCGGAAGCAGCTCTACAGGGTCTCAGTGTGAAAGTGATGCTAACTTGAAAGAATGGGGACCCTGCCATAAAAATCATTCTTTTTTTGGTGGAGGAGTACCAGAGATCGAACAGGACCTTGCTTGCCAAGCAGGTGCTTACGCCCCTGAACTATCTCCCTGGCATAAAGTTCTGACAGACAGGCCTAGCTGCGACTCTGACATCTCAGGTGTCACTGGTTTTCGGCCTCAAGGCCTTGCCCATGTCCTCTCGGGGTCCCCACTGCCAGTGTGACAAGCTATCCCAGGTGACCGGGTCAGGGGAAGGACAGGGAGTCTCACCGTGCATGTCTGGCCAGTGTGAGGAAAGGTAGGGAGAGGTAATCTGCCCATCGTCAGCCGATCTAAGTCCATTACCTGCAGATAAGCCGGCCGGCTCCTCTTGCCAGGTGAGTTTTAATCCCTGAGCATAGTTTATTTTGTGTCACTTTGTTTTCAAACCTGAGCCTTCCCAAGCATGAAGGCCAGAGGTCTTGTGATTCCTGCCATGTCTGTCCCCCTCCCTGGATGGCTTGTGCAGTCTGACCTCCTCCCCTCCCACCCATGGGAGAGTCTCCACTGCTCTGACATGAACGTGTAGAAACCTGTGGCCTCCCTATCAGGAGCCACATCCTGGTGGCGTCTAGGAGATGAGACAGAAGTGGCCTCACTTCAGGGTCCCAGTGGAGGGTAGAAGGAAGCCCTGTCACCCCATGCTGAACAGAGGAAGCAAGGAGCTGCTTGGAAAAGGCCATCTGTTCTTGGACACAGATGCAGCACGTGTTCTTGTCCCCCACCTCCTCTCTCCTTCTCCTGGGCTGCTTTTCAGGCCCATGGGATACATTTGTCTACCTTCCCTGAGCACACAATACTTGAATACATTGTTGCTGGAAATGTTCTG